TTAAGTAAATTGAAAAAAAAAATATTAATAATAATAATACACTGTATAATTAGATCTAATAACTGATTGGATGTCTGCTCAAAACGATTTGGCCATAATTACTTGGGACACATATTTGTGAACCAAATGAAATGTGTTTTGCAGTAAAATGGCAAGCACAATGTTGTTGTTCTTCTTCTTCTTAAAAGAAGTAGGAGGAGGAGGAGGAGGAGGAGGAGGAAAGAATAAGATAAATATTATGTTCCATTTAATGGCTGATATAAATGACCAGTAACATTCCAGCATACTGAACACCCCATGACAGAGCCCAATAGGTGTCATAGTATGACCGATCTGAGCAGGATGCTTTATTCACATAATAAATGAAATTAATGCAAAGCAGCTCTTCAACCAGTCACATGAGGACCCTTTTAAGGTATCCAATGATGAGGTGTATGTCAACTGCGCCAATGAAATATTTAGGTCAAGAGTTTGACACCCAACATCCCACTGTACAGTATCTTGTTACCCCTGAGCCATAAACATAGGTACTATCAAAACCTTCAACCCTTCACACCTAGCATATCCAGATCCCAACCTTTTGAGGAGGGAGTGAATCCTTGTCATTCACCTTTGCTCTTGAGTTGTGTTAGACAATGGGTTAATGAGTAACATAGGAAACAGGATGATCTTATAAATAGGATAAAATATGGAGCCAATGTCAAATAGTAAGGTCCCTACAATATACTGTACATACACCCATACTGTATTTCTTATCAAGAGACATTCATTATCTAATTTACTTATATCTTTACAGTGTTTAATGGCAAGAGAGCACATCACAACTCTGCCTTGCCAGCAAAGAGGGCATGTTGTTGTCCTATATCTAATGCCCAATTTCCACTTTGTAAAAGTGTGTTGGAGAGAGGAAAGGCATTCAGCCATAAAAATTGGTTCAAATTTGCCTGATGGCAACTAGTGCAACATGCCATAAGGTAATCACTGCTAATTCACATAACATGATGATGAAGATATACAGTAATATAACAAATGAATTGTAGTGAACACATTACATAATATCAAACAGTAAGTGGATCAAGGGAGCAACTTTGAGTACGAGCAAGTGTAATGTGAATAAAGGGTAATTAAGCCTCATCATTCACTCCTGAAGTACTTTTCTGGGAAAAGGTCTTAGAGTTGCTCTTGTGTGTGTTTATGGAAACTAACAGTGGAGGGTGTAGTCTATATGAGGGAAAATAAGACAAAACCTGACTATTCTAACTGAAACAATCTATCTTGATGTAATTGGTTATCACACCACCTAAGGTGTTCTGCAAAGGTCAACAACAGAATGCAACTAAGTACACAATTACTTCAAAGACAAAGATAACATACATCCCCTAACCAGAATAACAAGTCACATGTCCTATAATTGTTTCAGACTATGCCAGTGAACTTCTTTTAAAACCCCTAACTGGTTACTCTCATAGTTAAATACTTATACACACACACAAACACAGTATACTGTACACTGTATACAATGACAATTGGTGTTCCTGAACATTCTAGAAGAATCTGTTTGAGAAAGCCCTCTCCTTTTCTCTCTCTCAGTACTACATGTACTGTATATCATGTGTACATGTACAGTATACCATGTGTACTGTAGTGAAGTAAGTGACGGTGGTCACAAGATATAAAACATATTGGTCAAATTATTAACAAACACTGAGTGAGTGAGTGAGTGTTGTGATTTACTGTGTTTTGTGGGAGTGTTGGTGTTGCCATATAAAACGAGGAATTTTTAGGGGTCATACATATTAAATTTCAAAAATAAATTGCTACTAAAAAGGCTTATCCCAACACATAAGATAAATCTAGTTTAGAAAACACAAAAAATTTGAAATTAAATCAGAAAGTAAAGTGCGGCAGTGCCCCCACACTAGCCATACATCTGTTTCAAGGAATTTAAATGCCTGCGTTGTCCTTTAAATAAGTGAATACAGTATTGTATTCTGTTTACTAACACATTTCAATACAGTATATGGCATACCCTATATACCAAGTGGACAGATGCAATTGTTTTACTGTTTCAAGAATCCTCAATATCTCCAGCTTGGTTTCTATTGTTAACATCTTCAATTATAAGAGAACTTGAAGGATGCTTTGAGGGAACCAACACCAATGACAAAGACAAAATCAGTTTATGAGTAGCAACTATATGATACTGTAAAACAAATATCACATAATAAAAACAAAATTGGCCCCAGGTTCTTGTTGGCATGTGAGATGTTTTCCCCCAATATACACATTACACACGGGAAAGATGAAAAACATGACATGTACAGTACAGTATCAGCATGAGTACAAACCTTAGCCCAGTATAAATAAAACCTTGGTGGTAAAAAGTAAACCAAATTTGTGTGAATTGAGTTCTTGTGAAGTTGACATAAATGGGGGCAAAGTTTCCTGTAGTATTTGTTTCTAATTATTGTTTCAATGTATGATGGTTGTCCTACAACTTTATAAGACCGTTTTCTATAAATAATTAAAAAACTCACTATCTCAGTGATGGCAGTAGATTTGAATTTCATCCATCAGAGTTAGCAAATTCTTTTGACAATTGTCCTCTTTCTGTTAATTAATACAATTTTAAGGATCAACTACACTAATTAATTCATTCATTATGCTTTAAAAGTTTTGAACTTAGTGACACAAGTGTTGGGTGGTGTATTAGCCGGCTCATGATCTGTTTCTTTCATGTTTCAGTGACGATTAAAACTACTGTACCCAACACAATTGGAAGTATTAATTTGGGTAAATAAAAATTGCAGCTTCATTCATTCAAAATCTTTAAACTTTTCAAGGTGAGCATTTAAAATGTTAATAAAGTTCACTCATATACACATCTATGGAAGGATGAATACATGAAAAATTGTATTTACTGTTTTAATACCAACTTGAAATTAGTTATACAGGGTACAGTACTGTAGCTAGTTATAAAGTCATCTGTGGGTGTTGCTGTTTACCCATACATTGGTGTTACTGTTCATCTGTCTGTGGTACCGGTATGGCCAGCATAAAGACAGAACCAGACAATGTGATATAGTCATGGCCAGAATTAGGCTAGGATACAGACACATCTGGCAAGTTAGTGACGCTGTACCCATACCGGATTACTCAGCATGTAAACTTTGTGATAAACCTTTAAAGCATACACTTGAACACTATATTATTGAATGCGACACTGTTAAAGACTTCAGGCAACCTGGCTTATTGTATCATGAACTATGTAAATACTGCATTGAATCAGGGATGCTTGAGGACACTCTTACTGTTTATCCCAAATTTGCTAGCCCATACTGATTAGTCCTCAAATAAAACATGACTTCTACTGTATATGAACCACTGCCCTGCATGATAGTGAACAGTGATATCACCCACATGACTTTGACCTATATACTATATACTGTTAATGAATATGATCTATTTCTTTGTGTATGAATCTCTGTCCTGCATGGCAGTGAGAAGCGATAGCACCCTCAGTGTCAAGACCTGACTGAATTACTCAGGATAGGCAAACTGTACTCCAAGTTTTGCTAATAAATTGGTTAACCGTTAATATATCACACACACACACATGCACGCATGTGCACACAAATGCACACACATGTGCATACACACACACGCATGCATGCACGCAGGCACACACACACACAGGTGGTCTCACTTCATGTTGCCCCAGTCAATGTTGTTTTGTTTTTGTCAATAAAATATATAATTAAAATACTGTACTGTACAATAAGTACCAGTACAGTATAACTAAATTATCTAAATACTGAAAAAAATAATTGGTGCAAAGCTGAATTGATGTGGGAGAATTTGGGCTTACACACACAGTAATTAAGAACAGCATACTGTATATCTATTAACAAAATACAGGTAGCTAAAAGGTGTACCAACTCACCATAGAAGTTTCTGCGTGGGGTTGAGTTTGTACACCTGAGGGTCCCGGTAGTGTCCCTTCGTCACTACTGTGGTATTGATCTGCTTGTGGATATACTTCACGGGTTATTTGCTCCCCTCGACTGGATGAGCTGACTTGAGCTGTGCCCGCGTAGATTGCCGTCCCTGAGACCGAGTATAAAACACCCTCGGAGGCTGCGATGGGACCGTGGTGACTAGCATAAGGCTGGGGTGTGTGGGATGTAATGTCTGGTTGGTGTGGAGGTTCATGTGAGGGAACTAACACCACCTGGGGAGCCGGGTGATCACGAATACTTAAATTTTCACCACGGAGACTAAGATTTTCACCACGGAGACTCAAGTTTTCCCCATTACCAGCTTCAACAGTCACAACCTCCTCCTGGTTCTCTCTCACACCAACATAACTACTCTGTACATTAAATTGTTCTGATTTTTTCCGTTTGGCAACAGGACTAGACTGGGGGTATTTTGACACCTGAAGATGCTGAGGTACCCCAACAGGAGTTGCTGGGGTGGACTGTTGGGGCAGGGGTGGAGGCTGCGGTCTGGGAGGCGATGCTATTCTTTTCACACTCTTATCTACCGGTCTATCAGGTTCAGCTAGACCTTTGATTTTTAAGTTTTCTGCTGTGCTTATCAAAGATGCTAACTCAGACTGTGATACACTGACCTGAAATATAAGACAAAGGATTACAATTAGAAATATCATTCTAAGGCTGAGGGAATAATTCTAGTAACAGGCGATATATATATATATATATATATATATATATATATATATATATATATATATATATATATATATATATATATATATATATATATATATATATATATATATATATATATATATATATATATATATATATATATATATATATATATACACACACACAACACACACACACACACACACACACAGTTGTACCTCACGTTAGCGGTCAATTGAACCCACAGGGTACGCTGCTAAGTGAATACCGCTAAATGAACAACAGAACATATGGGATTAATTCCAATAAAGACTGGCCCGACCCCCAAACTCCACTTTTTGACGACACACAACTATGTTCTAGTAAAAATAACATCTTAATTTTATGATGGTACATGCACACAATTAATACTTAAGAGAAATAGAGAAATACAGTCGCCAAGTTAATGTCCATTCAAATAATGGACTCGACTCCCTCCCCCTCTTCTCACACTACACTGCTGGCTCTTCCCTCTCTGAGAAATTTTTGGGGGAAAACCACTAGATTTTAATAAATAATACCTCAAACTAAAGTTAGGATAATACAATTGACATTGCTGGATTCCTTGTAAGACCAGGAATATTTTGAATATAAATGTCATATATTTTGCACAAAAGATAACATAGTTACCCAGAGAAAAATTTTTATCTAAAATTTGTATGTCTAATGCAAAATATATGATGTTTATATTCAAAATGATCACCAAATTATAAGAATTCCAGCAATGTAAATTATATTCTGACCGGGTAATTTGTATGAATTTTATGAGCTAAAACAAATATCTTCAGTTAATAAAAAAAAAATAATCTTCACGACACTATCTGTCAATCAAAGTACCCCACCTTGCCTCCCCCTCTTCCAACCGCGCGGTCAGTCCCAACCCTCCCCCCCACCCCCCACCAATCCTCCCTTCAAGAGATGTGGGGTGAAAAAAATAAATTTTAACATTTTGTATTAAATAATACCTCAGATTAAAGTTAGGATAATATAATTGACATTGCTGGATTCCTTGTAAGACCAGGAATATTTTGAATATAAATGTCATATATTTTGCACAAAAGATAACATATTTACTCAGAAAACATTTTATCTAAAATTTGTATGTCTAATGCAAAATATATGATGTTTATATTCAAAATGATCATCAAATTATAAGAATTCCAGCAATGTAAATTATATTCTGACCGGGTAATTTGTATGAATTTTATGAGCTAAAACAAATATCTTCAGTTAATAAAAAAAAAAATATTCTTCACAGGGTAACAGATGGTCGGTCGGTCCCTCCCTCCCCCCCACCCCCCACCAACCGTCCCAAGGAGATGTGTGGGAAAACCAGAATACTTAACTTTTTTGTAATAAATAATACCTCAAACTAAAGTTAGGATAATATAATTGACATTGCTGGATTCCTTGTAAGACCAGGAATATTTTGAATATAAATGTCATATATTTTGCACAAAAGATAACATAGTTACTCAGAGAAAAAATTTTATCTAAAATTTGTATGTCTAATGCAAAATATATGATGTTTATATTCAAAATGATCACCAAATTATAAGAATTCCAGCAATGTAAATTATATTCTGGCCGGGTAATTTGTATGAATTTTATGAGCTAAAACAGGCAGTCAGGCAGGGTGGCGGGTGGGGCAAATCTAAAAATAGCGTCTCGAGCCGGACACTCACCGTGTATATGTGGAAAAAATCCGTGTTAAGTGAAAGTTCAGCTCTGGCGAGGCACCGCGTATATGATAAAAAGCGTTAAGTGAAACCGCGTTAGGCGGGGTAATACTGTATATATATATAAATATATATATTATATATATTATATATATATCATATATATATATATTATATATATTATATATATATCATATATATATTATATATATTATATATATTATATATATATATTATATTATATATATATATATATATATATATATATATATATATATATATATATATATATATATATATATATATATATATATATATATATATATATATATATATATATTATATATATATATGTATATATATATATATATGTATATATATATATATATGTATATATATATATATATATGTATATATAATATATATATATATATAATATATATACAGTCAACCCTCACTTTACGCGGTCCCACATTCCGTGTTTCCACGTTTACATGGTGCCCTGCCAGAACCCAGGATGCTCACATTCCGCGGTGGGTGTACCCCTTTACACGGTGAAGTATAATTTTTTTATTTAGCTCATAAAATTCATACAAATTATCCGGCCAAAATATAATTTACATTGCTGGAATTCTTACAATTTGATGATCATTTTGAATATAAACATCATAGATTTTGCATTAGACATACAAATTTTAGATATAATGTTTACTCTTGAGTAAATATGTTATCTTTTGTGCAAAATATGATATTTATATTCAAAATATTCCTGGTCTTACAAGGAATCCAGCAATGTCAATTATATTATCCTAACTTTAATCTGAGGTATTATTTAATACAAAATGTTAAAATCTAAATTTTTCACCCAACATCTCTTGAAGGGAGGATTGGTGGGGGGTGGGGGGGAGGGTTGGGACTGACCGCGCATGGTTGGAAGAGGGGGGGAGGCAAGGTGGGGTACTTTGATTGACAGATAGTGTCGTGAAGAATAATTTTTTTTTTTTATTAACTGAAGATATTTGTTTTAGCTCATAAAATTCATACATATTACCCGGCCAGAATATAATTTACATTGCTGGAATTCTTACAATTTGGTGATCATTTTGAATATAAACATCATATATTTTGCATTAGACATAAAATTTTTAGATAAAATGTTTAATCTGAGTAAGTATGTTATCTTTTGTGAAAAATATATGACATTTATATTCAAAATATTCCTGGTCTTACAAGGAATCCAGCAATGTCAATTATATTATCCTAACTTTAGTTTGAGGCATTATTTATTACTATACCTGGTTTTCCCCCCAAAATTTCTCAGAGAGGGAAGAGCCAGCAGTGTAGTGTGAGAGGGGGAGGGAGTCGTGTCCATTATTTGAATGGACATTAACTTGGCGACTGTATTTTTCTATTTCTCTTAAGTATTAATTGTGTGCATGTACCATCATAAAATTAAGATGTTATTTTTACTACAACATAGTTATGTGTCGTCAAAAAGTGGAGTTTGGGGATCGGCCTGACCCATTTCACCAATTAATCCCATATGTTATGTTATTCACTTTACGCGTTTCTCGCTTTCCGCGGTACCCTCCGGGTTACATTAACCGCGTAAAGTGAGGGTTAACTGTATATATATATATATATATATATATATATATATATATATATATATATATATATATATATATATATATATATATATATATATATATATATATATATATATATATATATATATATTTCATGTAAATCCACAATGAAAACGTGGATAAGATAAATCTTGATAAAATCACACGGGAAAATGGAAACAACGGAATATACCTTAGCTTTCGTCTTTATTCAAGACATCTTCAGAGGCAACTGAATATGTCTTGAATAAAGACGAAAGCTAAGGTACTCCGTTGTTTCCATTTTCCCGTGTGATTTTATCAAGATATATATATATATATATATATATAATCAACGACCTCACCAGCAGGGAATCGAACCCTCGACCTACTGGGTAGGACTAGGGAACGCTTACCGGCTAGGCCACAAGGACACTAAAAGCAGTTCTAGACTCTGTTATATTTCACACAAAGCCTGTTCATCGAGCTGATGGCGCCGTGAACCTCATTGGGAAACTGCCCGTGCCTCTTATGTGGTGTCAGTAGCATTTTACCGAATCCAGCTGGTATGAAACGCGAGGTACATATATATAGCCTACTTCATTTTTAGTCCATATAACACGCGGACTTTGAACATATAATCAACGGTAAGCGTTCCCTAGTCCCACCCAGTAGGTCGAGGGTTCGATTCCTTGCTGGTGAGGTCGTTGATTATATATATATATATATATATATATATATATATATATATATATATATATATATATATATATATATATATATATATGCTGATAACCACAAGGAAAGAAGAAAACACGAAGTTCCCAAGATGTGAATTACACGAAAGCACTTGGGAACTTCGTGTTTTCTTCTTTCCTTGTGGTTATCAGCATATGCCTAGATCACGCGCACCTACAGTGATTTACTTGTGGTTATCAGCATATATATATATATACAGTGACCCCTCGTTTAACGAACACCTCGGTTAACGTAATTTCGATTAACGAACTGCCTTCCATAAGGATCTTCAATTCAGTTAACGAAAAAAAATTTAGTTATTGAAGTTCTTACGAACCGACCTCAACATGTTTTCGCTTGCACTGACTGGGCAACCAGCTTTAGTATCAGTCCGCCAATACATTAATCGGTTCTAGGCTTAAATTCCTTACTATTTTAGTAAATATCAAGAAGTTTATACTATTCAATAATTTTAAAAGTTTAATATTCAATTTTTTAGTCATTTTAACAATTATTGAACATAATTGAAGGTAAAGTGACTAGTTTAATGCGTGGCATCCAGCCTCTTAACACAGCAAACAGGAGTTAGTCTCTCTCTGTTTTCACTGGAGGTAACATCTTGCTTGAGACTCTCTTCAACTAAAGGCTTTTTTTCTGTGTTTCCAAGCAAATTATTGGTCATTTTGAAATATATTTTACATATTGACAATATATAATGCAGTGCAGTGTTGATTTAAAGAAAATAACCTTGAAATACACCAAGAGAACTAAAATTTTATGGATGAAATGGTGCCATGGGGTGACTTCTCTTCCACCCCAATGCCTTTTCTACTTCCTTCTCCTCCACCCCCATTCTAATTCCCATCATCATCATCATCATCATCCAGGAGCCTTCTA